TTTATTTCCTTAAACCAATTCCAACGGTAATTTCATTATTTTTATTTATCTTTCATACAAAAATACATTTGTATCCAACATGGATTACATTTTTAAGTGTTCGAACTATAGGTCCAAACATTTTCTATTTCTTTAAGGAATTCAATTCCGCCTATATGATTTCTTTCCACTTTGACTAATCATTTCCATGTTGACAGTATTTAACAGACCGTGATTCAAGATCCACATTTGGCATAATATCAAGAATCATGTTAAAAGACAAATATATTGTCATAACAATATTATTTCGTTCCCATAATTTATAAGATAATATATAATTTATTGAAATCTCATTATTTTCGAACACTTGTAGTTCTTTAAAAATCATATTTTCAATATTTGATTGATCAATCTTTTCTAATGTTACTTTTGCTGAAGTTTTTGATTATTTTTCTCTTGTACTTTTCTTTTTCGAGGTATGGAGTCTTTTGAACCAACTGGTCGACCACGCTTCTAACGTATTTGAGATTCATTTGTTACAACAAATTGTCCTGTAGGGACATCAATTTTTGTTGAAATATTTCCTGTTGGTATATATGAATTTGTCACTTTTCATGTGTCAACAAATATATCGGTAATTGATTTGTAACTCTTTGCAAATGAATGATTTTTTCAACATCCTGCTCACATTGATTGCTGCGGGATCAAAGTGAGAAAAAGTTGTTTCATTCCAATATATTTTACGTTATTTATCATAATGTAATTTTTTCCCTCCAAAAGTTGGGAAAGTCATTTCATCAAAATGATAATATGCTAAACGTGCAGTAAATAAATCACTCGTTAAATGTTCAAGATACCTAATAATAGATGGTGAATCAAAACCCACATAAATCCCAAGTCTTTGTTGATGATCCATTTTAGTACATTGATTGATTTTTCTCTTGTTCTTTTTTTTTTGAGGTACAGAGTCTTTTGAACCAACTGATCGATCACACTTCTAGCGTATTTGAGATTCATTTGTTACAATAAATTGCCTTGTATGTACATCAATTTTCGCTGAAATATGTTCTGCTGGTATATATGACTTTGTCACTTTTCTTGTGTCAACAAATACATCCGGTAATTGATTTGTAACTCTTTGCAAATGAATGATTTTTTCTATTTGAAATTCATTTGTTACAACAAATTGTCTTGCATTGACATCAATTTTTGCTGAAATATTTTCTGCTGGTATATATGACGTTGTCACTTTTCTTGTGTCAACAAATACATCTAGTAACTGATTTATAAATCTTTGCAAGTAAATGATTTTTCAACATCTTATTCACATTGATTGATGCGGGATCAAAGTGAGAAAGAGTTGTTTCATTCTAATATATTTTACCTTATTTATCAGAATATAGTTTTTTTCTCTTCCAAAGTTGGGAAAGTCATTTCATCAAAATGATAATATGCAAAACGTGCAGTTAATAAATTACTCGCTAAAGATTCTAGATACGTAATAATGGATGGTGAATCAAAACCCACATAAATCTCAAGTCTTTGTTGATGATACATTTTAGTACATTGTATGGGTGAAATATGGACTTGAACAGCCCAAAAGAAAAACCCGCATGTGGGAAATATTAGGTTCAGACCAAATGTCAATTGCAAATGTTAATATTGATAATATACAGTTGGTCTGATATGAATTAATGACACAGCATGTAATATGACAAGACTCCAAACAGAAGTTGGGAGTTCTGTTTTCATAAGTAATGGTATAACAATAAATTGTAAACATTTAATAAATGACTCCGCTAAACAATTTTGTGTATGGACACGCGCAATCGAATGTTCAATAACAATCCCAATTGACTTAAATAATAATCGAATGCTTGTGATTTAAATTCACCAGCATTGTCAAGACGAATAGTTTTGATTGAGTAATCGAAAAATTGCGCTCGTCATTTTATGATTTGAACAAATAATCTAGCAAAATTTACATTTTTAGTGGAAAGCGGGCAAATATGTGATCATCTAGTAGATTACCATAAAATAATGAAATGGTCCACAT